ATATTGCTTGGTCCTTCGGCATATGGTGGTTCAGAGGCTGCAGGAGTTGCTGTGCCCGCGACGCCCCCACTCCCAGAGCTCTGAGTACTATTACTGCTAATATCTGGAAGTTGGGGGTGTTGAAGTCAGCGGTTTCTTCTTCGTAGCGGGCTATCTCGAACCGTGCTAACAACTGGTCGATGCTTTCTCCCGCGTGGACACGAAAGTGAATGAGAGCCGTGCCAGAGTTGAGTTGGCGTTCCTCTTCTAGGTTCTCGAACTTCGTACTTAAGAGGAACATAATGTAGGTGACGCCGTCGGCGTGGCGACCACCTATATTGACACCAAAAATGATGACTGCTTGGGGAACTCTCACGGATATGGTCCGTGCAAGCCCTCCAAGACCGCTCTGGAGTGCGGCGGCCTGTTTGGAGGGCGTCATGTTGCCTGTGGTCACGTTGATCCAGGCGTGTACCTCGCGGACAAACTCGCGAAATGGTACTTGACCGGCAGGGTCCCAATGGGGGCCGGTCGTCCTAGTGTCGTCTCCGCCCCGCTTATGTCCCACCGTACATCCAAGAGCGACCCATATGAGCTCAAAGATAGTAACCCCAACCCCATGGCCTCGTAGGTCGTAATCGGGTGTCGTCGGTGGAGACTCGTGTGTTGTCGTCGTAAGCCTGCGAGGAGTCGGAGGCGGCGGAATATCGTATCGCATGTTTCCATGCTTGATGTCTTCGAAGAAATTTCCAATTGGAGTAGGTGGGTTGACTTCGGGAGTGTAATAGCGCAGGGATGTATAATATGAGTAAGAGGCCTCCGCTGAAGCACAGGTGTCGCTGCAAGCTTCCTTGCGGTACTGCGTATCTATGTACACTCCTCCGCGCAATGCCACAGCACCCTGATGTTCCACCGTAGCTGTAGTCCACCAAATAGTGCCGTGGATGGTGAGGAGTACAGCTAGAGCTGACCACCATATGCCAGCTCCGCTACCAAGTTTGAAGGGGGCTGGGAGGCCCCGCCAACAGCTTCGCCTCAGGCAACCAAGCTCCAGCCCGGCTGTATCGTAATAGCGATAATCCCAATGCAAGAGGGGATGCCATGTCAAGTAAAAGGGGATGCCTTTAGTCTCGATAGCGATAATGTGCCTGCCTCGCGGTGAGGCACAATAAAATCTAGGCGGCCGGCCGCTTTGAGCCAAGACGGCCGCGGGCGCACGCTCGCTTCCGCTCCTTACGTCCCCCAGCTCGCTTCAGAATCCAAAAGGGCCCAAGAGGCCCCCAAGACGGCCCCAAGAGGGCCCAGAGACGGCCCAAGAGGCCTCGAAGAACGCGACTGTCCTGGAGGACCTCAAGAGGGCCCCGAGTCGGCCCAGAGAGGCCCCCAAGACGGCCTCCGACGGGCCAGGAATGCCCTGAGACGGCCAAGAAGCCCCCCGAGAAGCCCCCAATGGCCTCCAAGAGGCCCAAGGAGGCCCCCAAGATGCCTCCAAGCGGCTCCCAGGAAGCTACTATGAGGTCCCAAGAGCGCCCCAAAAGGCTCCCAAGATGCCCCCTCCTCTTTCTCCTCCTCATCCTCTTCCTCCTGATCTTCCCCGCCACCCCAAGTGTTTCCCGAAGGATTTCTACAACGGTTGGGGGCACACATGGGAGCTCTTGCCGCAACGCTCGGACACATGGGCGATTCCAAAAGGCAGGGGGCTGCGGTGATTCGCCATAGGCGTCTTCGATAACGCGAACGTCTCAATATGCGCTGATGGTTCCTATCCGCCCCCGCATGATGCTCCCAAATGCGCCAAGGCAGCGCCGAGACGCACCGACGCGACTCTGATATATCCCATTATGATAGAGAGAGAGAGAGAGAGAAAGGCTGGCGGAAGGGGGCGAAGCCGTTACGGATATACACAAAACCCAGGACCCCCGTTTAGAAGTATTCTGGATGTTCGCATTCCCCTCCACTTCCCATATTTTACGATGTATGTTCATGGGAATCAACGCTGACTCGTGCCTGTGCCTATTTCTCACGCCTGACTATCGGGCATCAGTGCCTCCGGTTCGATGCTGCCGTCGAACTCCAGCACCTGGAAGAGGTCCAGACCTCCCAGGGCCTCCAGAAGCTTTGGAAGTTGTTGGGTGGCCGTCTCAGCGGTTCTTGAAAACGGCCTCGACGTTTCTATACAGTTTCCAACTTCTGCGTCTTGCGAGTCGACTGTGGACCTGGAAACGATTGGGAAACACAGCCAGGAAACTAACGTTTCTGTACGATCACCTGGGATCACTTGAGAAATGATTTGGTGCATTCTGGCAACAATTCGCCGGCCCAACTGGCCAGAGGCGTGCTAAGATCTCTGGTAACAGGTTAACAATATTTCTAGTTCGCGCGCGCGTGCCTGTCGTGTTTTGCATGGCGCATCACTGCTTCATAGCCGCGCCATGGGCAATGGTTCTTGTTTCACCGCTTTGCCAATGCATCTTTGACGTGCACGGCTTCTCTCGCTCTCTCTCGCGCGCGTGGCGGCCCCTGGGGACCCCTGGATTCCACTGGATGAAAAGTACCCCGAGCGATGCCTGGCCGTCTCCCTCAGGGCGCACCAGGAGCGGGCCAAGAGGGCGCCGGGACGCCCCCTACACGGCCCAAGAGGCCCCGAGTCGCCGAAAGATCGCTCCAATACGCTCAAGATGGTCTCCATATGGTCCCAGAGTTCGCGAAGAAGCCCCAAGAGAGCCTCAAGAGGATCTCCAAGAGGGCCTCAACAAGCAAAAATCGTCCCATTCCCTCCGGACAACGTCCATATTTCGCATGTGCAGCGTTTCTCTCCTTTTCGGCTTTCCAACGCTCCAAAACGGCCCAAGAGGCCCCCAAGACGATGGCCTAGGAGGCCTCCCAGAGGGCCCCTAGACGGCCCAAGATGGCCCCATAACATCCCACGATGCGCCCAAGATGGCCCAAAAGGGCCCCAAAACGACCCCAAGAGGGGCTCAAGACGCGGACCAGGAACCGAAAAGTCCAGCCGTCAGCCCCAAGAGACCCCCAGGAGACCCCAAGAGGCCCCCAAGAGACCCCAAGGGGCCCGCAAGAGGCACCCAAAAGACCCCAAGGGGCCCCCAAGAGGCACCAGGCCCCAGACCTCAAAACTGCCTCCCAGGGGCCCCAAAGAGGCCCCAACACGGCACCCAAGCGGCAAGGCAATTTGGGCCGGCGGAATGAACGAAGCGATGAAATAAACAAACGCCCCCCTGGACTGCGACTGCGACCTGCGTTGAACGCAACGAGAGAGCTGCAAAGTGGCTCCAGCTTCCGGCAAAAATATAAGAAAACTTAGATGCACGCTCGATCGGAGCCGCCCCGATGGGGCTGGAGCAGATGCGTTCGGAGAGGATCGCGCCGATTGGCCGACGCATCGGCGATGGATGCACCGGCGCCGTCGGGATCGAACAGCTCACGACCCTTTCCCCGCGACTGGTTTCTCATCCTGACTGGTTTTTACGGTCCTGGGGCCCGGCGAGGGCCCCAAAACGGCCAGAAGCCTTCGGTCCTGATTCTTTCAAGACGCGAGCATTTCTGGGAGGACCTCGAGCGGGCCCCGCGCCCCTCCTGGCCTGCGCCGCCCGGCATCGCGGCCGAGCGGGGCCGGGCGCACGCCCTGGCGGCCGCCAGGCCGCTGGGCCGCCAACCGGCCATGGCAGGGCGGACGAAGCGGAGCCGGGGCAGCATGGCCATGAGCGCGCGCGCGCGCGCCCTCGGGAGTGGAGGCCTCCTGGATGGGGTCCCAGTAGATGGGGTCGGAGGATCGCGCTGCATCGCCGATGCATCGCTGATGCATCGGCGATGCATCGGTGCCGTCGGCATGGAGAAAATCGGCTCCGCATCGACCCGCATCGCCGATGTGACGCGATCCTCCAACCCCATCTACTCCGACCCCATCTGGGAGGCCAAGATGGAGGCCCGAGGGTCTGTGGCGGGCCAGCTGACGGCCCCTTGCAGCCTTGAAGCTGCGGGTATGTCTGGCAATGCCTGGAGCTCCAAGGCCGTCCAACGGCCAACGCCTGGGGGAAAGGCGGAAATCATAGGTTGAGTAGGATGAAAACAGGAGACCGGGAACGGGAACGGGCTATCCGACGTAGTTGCAAAAAATTAAGTAGCCCTCTGGATCTGCTCAGCTTTGCTAAGCAACTTTGGCAACTTCCCCATGTGTAGGCGACTAAGGTATTCTCGCCGATGGGGGGATATGTGATTCGTGCATACTTTCGCTCACGCATATGTTTACTCGGTCGAAATACCACAATGCTCACATAACCAAACATCATCCACCTGGCCTGACGCCAGCAAACCGAAACAACACGGACATGGAACGGGGATCGCCTATACACAAGCGACGTATGACTTCGACTACCTCTGACGCTGACGCACAAACTTAGCTGCTCTAGGTACGCACGTTTTAAAACGTAACACGTGCCGTGTTCAATACGTCAGTGTTAAAAGCGTACGTGTTACATCTACTCGTTGAGCTCCGTACCAATACGCTACGTGTTGCGTGTTGCGTATCGGGGCAGCTAAGCGCAAAATTAAGGAAAAAGGAGGGCTGCTTCCTGTAAGCAAACCCTCGAGTACACCCGTCCACGCATATACACGCCGCCCTCTATAATACGTTGATATTCCAGCAGGCAGGGCAAATAAGCATTCGCTGGTAGAGCGCATGCTCGTGTATATGACTCCTGTTCTGTAAACGGGAGCGATCGATCTCCATATCATACATGCTCGGTTATAACAAACGCCCGCATGATCATGGCGACGACCATCCACGTAGAGGCTGGCCAGCGGGACTCGAACACTATTGAAGCAATTATCTGGGCATGGGGATGCACGACGACAACGACAAATGCCAATGGCTGCCAATGGGCAGGGCTCATGCAATGGCGCATGCTGCATCATACACGTGAAAAGAATTTGCAGACAATATAACCCCCCAAACATTACGTACATCGAAGCATAAACTGGAACCGTAAAGGCAGACACCGTTTGCGCCCACGGGGAATGACACATGACAACGACATTATCCGACAGCCTCCCAGGGCTGTCGGACAAATAAGTTTCAAAAACCAAGTGGATGTGAACACAACTCCAGACGGGCTCAGCCCAGGGAGGCTAGACCTTGATCAGCTTGAACATTTGTCGAGCACGAATTCGCCGCAACCCCGCATCGAACTACAAAGGGCCCTTGCGCTCAGTGCTGAGGCAACTCCGACCCCTGTTGCGGGAGTGTGGTCGCCCCAGCTGCGGGAGCCTGGCTGCGGGGAGCAGGCATGTATCGAGGCAGAGGGAGGTGGATCGAGGAGGAGAGGAGAAAGATGACGAGGACGAAGAGAAGGGCCAGAAGGAAAATTATGTTCAGGGGGAGAAGGATGAAGAGGTCTTTTGCTTCGTCGGCATGATCTGATCGTAGAGCTCTGCTTGGGATCGAGCAACTCTGCTCCCCTCCCGCGGCTAGTCAACGCCGTGACTGCCTGTGCTGCTGGACGCCTTCGACGGCCATCGCACATTAGATCGCAGTCGTTGGCCCGAGCAGGTTACTGGTGCACCAGAAAGTCCGTGATCGGCGCCGCTGCTAGCGCTGTTGCCAACCAGGCGGCACGCCGCTGGCGAACGACAACAGTGAGCGGCGCGCAAAATGGGCTCGGGGCCAGGCCGAGGGGGCTCCTCTCCAGAAAGGCACACTGAGGTCGAGGCCAGGGTCGGCGTTCGAAGCCACAGCCCCCGCCGCTGCCTTCGCTGCCGGGGCCTGGGCTTGGCCCAGAGCTCTTCGATTGAATGTTCGAGGGGATGCGACTCGTGCCACTGCACGGGCAGTGGCCAGCTTGTTCAAGAAATCGTCGCAGCATGTCCCGCGTGCTGCCAATCCACCGTGGTCAACCCGTTCCCGCAACCTCGACGTTCTCGTCCAGCAGCCTGTGCGATCCAAGCTGGAGAGGTGGGCGATCTCCTGGTCTAGCAGCATGTGCCGCTCGGCCACGCGCTTCCAAGTACTGGTTCTGGTGGTTGCGGAGCGGCAGTGCCTGGGGGTCTGCACCGACTTCGGCGACGGAGCTGGCCAGCTTGTCCGTCTCCCCCGGACATTCCCCAATTGTTTGAGAACCTTCCCGCCCCCGCTCCTCATGTGCCTGCCACAACTGCCTGCCAAGAACGGCTGTCTGTGGTTGTGCTCGACGGTCGTCTGGCCCCACGACCTCCCTTGGCGGATCTGAGTCCAATCCGTCTCCTCGTGACGACGATTTGGCACCGCCGAGGGCAACCGCAACCTCTGCTGCTCGAGGGCCTCGACGCGCTGCGTCAGCGTAGCGTTGTCGGGAGGGGCTGGCGCGGCAGACTCTGCCCTCGCAGTGCCTCGAACTCGTCTTCCATCACGCGCAGGCGGCCCTTCTGCAACGACCTCGTCTGCTGACCCACGGAGCCCAACTCGTTCAACACCACCCTCTGGTCGGTCAAGCCCTGGACGCGCTCGGCGATACCCTCCCGCGTTGTCTGAGCTCCGCGAGCACCCGGCCCAGCTGCCTCATGCTGAGGGTCAGCACGTCCTCCGCCAGGCCCGATCCAAGGAGGTGCTGGAGCACCCGCCGGCGCAATGCACTACCCCGACCCCCGACGGCGGCCCCCTCGGCCGCCGCGGGCCGCCGAGGGCGGCAGCAACTCCGGCAAGGAGGGCGCGAGTCGGGGTCAGGCTGATCAAGCGGCCTCCTCGGCTCTTCCGCGACCCCCGGGGCTCCCCGCCCCCGCCACCTGCGGCCCCTCGAGCCAGAGAGGGGCCAGGGAGGGGGGCAAGATGGATTCGCCCGCGGCAGCGTTATGAGTCGCCGCAACTGCGGATGACTGGAAACAATCTCGTGGGATGGGCTGGCTGCTGACGTCGAAGTCGGCCTGACAGATTGCCAGAGGAAGCGGACCCCCGCCCAGCTGGGCGCCCTCATCGCGCCGCCACGTGCGCCTTTCGAGGGGCCCAGTTCCAGGGGACTGATACACATTACCATTTACTCCGCCGCTGCGCGAATCAGCGAATCAGCGCTCAAGCATCGATGGTCCTTGCCACCAAGTCGACTAGGGTTTCCTCCTGCCCCCCCTGCCCGAGGGAGGCCGCGTGAATACTCACCCTTGACTAAACAACCCTTTCATGAGCTTACAAATGATGGCGGCGATTACGCGCCGATCCCAATGTTGTGGCTAATTCCGGCAACGGCTCAACTTCACCTTCCACCCCTTCTCATAAGCTGCGATCAACGATCTCCGTTTTGTAGCTGCTCACGGCTTCACGGCCAGGCTGGCACTCGCGTCCCACGTCCTCTCGCACACGTTTGTCCCCATGCTGTGGTTGGGCGTGGTTGGGCGCAAGAGGAGGAGGAGGAGGAGAACGAGGTGAAAGGCGGACCGAGGATGAACCCACAGGAAGGCACGGGGCTGCAGAGAGAGCAACCCACACGGAGAGGCTCCAGAGGTGTCTGCGAGTAAACGGGATCCTTTCCAAACTGCCGCTCCCCTGTCCCACCCCTCTTATAAACTTCTTTCTCTTGGCCCGTCCTGTCCCCTCCCAAACAGCTGCTCTGTCACCGTCCCGCCAGTTCATCTTTCGCGTAAGGCCACTTTTCCTGCCAATGCTCAACTTCCGCTGCGGATGCTGCCCCCTCCAGCGGGGCTGCAGAGCTGCCAGATACTTGTTCGTCGATCGCGGTTCGCGTCGCAGGCGACCAATACGGCCGACGTCTTGCACATCTTCTCCGCGAGATCCATGCATCCAAGATGCGACGCCGAGACAACCGCGCAAGCGGCAGCATGTGTTCAGGCTGAGGTTCAACGCGAGCCTCGCCGTTGCCGATGGTGGTCAGCGAGGGGGCCGAAGACGCGCCGCCCAACGGTCCTCTGTCGCTGACGATGACCTCTGGGAGCTTTCCTTTCGAAGGGGAAGGGCTGGAAGGGCGCCCTCTGCTGCTAAATAACTGCCAACTATAAACGCCAACATGCCCCAGCAAAACGGAAGGTGAGGTCGCATTGGCAGGGTCGCCGCCGAGGTCACCAGGATAAATGGTCCACCGCGGAGGCCGCTGTAAAATTCATCTAGCACAATCGCTGTAAAATTCATCTAGCACAATCTGGTACATAGCGGACTATTCCGATGACAGGGTCTGGCCAGGGATCTTGCGAACTCAAGACCTCGCTGCTCCCTGCCTGTGGGGACCAACGACGAACGACTCAGCAACACCGAGCGGAGGATAGGCACTGCGTGGAGACGGAGGAGCTCCCTCCTGCCCCTCTTGCCCTCGCTACTCCTCCTCCTCCTCCTCCTCCTCCTCCTCCTCCTCCTCACCACCATCTGGGCGACGACCTTACGAGATGGCCTGCGCCATCCGAGGGCGCGGCGACCTTACGCGATGGCCTGCGCCATCCGCCAACACGGCACACCAAGTGGAAACGATGGCGGTCACGCGCGACCGTACGCGAGTAGCTCACGCACAAATGTGCGCTCGGTATCTGCACTTCGTTACGTCGCTCATCTGGGCTCCTCCTGGGTCGCGCCATCAGCAATCCGAGGCCTCACTGTGCTTGCCCTCTTCGCTCTCGGGGGAACTGGCGGCCTTGGGCTCCTCGGGCCGCAGATGGGCGCGAGGCGGGGACCTGAGGATCACGAGCAAAAGGAGCATGCGGCTGAGGACGAGGAGGAGGAGGAGGAGGGAAAGGAGTAGCGGCGGACAGATGATACCGCAACGACATCTCCCGATCCCCTCCCCCCTCCCACCTCCTCCCACCTCCCCCCCTCTGACCTGCTCTCCTCCCTTCCCCCTTCTCCCAGCCTCCCACTCTTTTCTCCCTCCTGCCTCCCGAGGACACAGACATCGTGCATTTGCGAGGCGGGCCTCTGGAGCCCTCGGCCCCCTTCCCGGGGTACCGGGACCAACTTTTCGCAACCCTTTTCTTTGTCCGGTGTATGTTCCTCCCCCCCCCCGCCCGCCAGCGCCCTGTCTCCCCAATTAGTGCTTTGCGCGGCCTGCCTAGCTCTTAACCGGAAGAGACTCGCTCTCGACCCGCAGACCAAAAAAGTTCCTCCCCCCCGTGGGCCCGAGAACGGTCCCGAGACCACGAAATCGATGCAAAACGCGTGTCCTAATTCATCCGCGACGCCGCGACGCCTGACTGTCCCCGTGCTGCTGCCCCGTGGATCCAACGGCAGGTCCTTCAACAAGCGTTGCGATTCCGCGCGCGGTGCCGTCGGCCCCGTGGACGGTGCACCACTGGTGATCCTGGGGCACTGGCAGGTGCCAGAAGGAAGAGGCGAAGGGAGGGCCAGCTGGTGGGGTTGGGGATGGGTTTACGGATGCGGGGGGGAGGCGACAGCGGTGCGCGGGGCGGGGACACAGCCTCGACGAAGGCGTGTCCAACCGTGCGCGCGGGGGGGGGAGGACAGCCAGCGATGGTCTAACAAGTCGCGGTTGCAGATCGGCAGCGGCATCCTGAGGCGCACGTAGGTGCCAGATGGAGCGGGGGGGGCCTTCGTCCTCCCCCTCCTCCTGCTCCTCCTCCTCCTCCTCCTCCTCCTCCTCCTCCTCATCTCTCCTCATCTCTCCTCCCCCTCCTCCTCCTCCTCCTCCTTCTCCTCCTCCTCCTCCTCCTCAGCGACAGCGGCAAAAATCTCCAAAGGCGAGCAGCAGCAGCAACCGAGACGATTTAACTCCAACCGGGACGGAAAGACGAGAGAGACATGGGGAGAGAGAGAGAGAGGGAGAAAGAGAGAGAGAGAGAGAGAGAAAGAACGAGAGAAATAGAGAAAGACAAAGGTGCCTCTTCAAATCTCTGACCAGTTCGGTCATCAGGAGGGTCCTGCAGCGGGGAGGGGTCCTTCGCACCTCCCCACCTCTCCCCCAAGCGGGAAAACACTCTTCTCCCAACCTGTGGCGGGAATTTCCCCCCCCCGGCATCGCGTCCACACGTAGACGGTGGGGCAACACCGAAGTCCCTTTAGCTGTTTTAACGCCGTTCTGTTGTGGATCTCCCCCTCCTGTCGCTCCCCTCCGGCGCTCCCCTCCGGCGCCCCTGTCAGCTAACTCCCTCTATAAAATGGTTATCCTTGAAAGCTGGGCTCTTCTAGAGCCCGCTCCAAAAATTCTGGGCCGAGAGGTTGTAGGGTGCATGGGAAATCGCAACTTGCACAAAAAAGACCCTGAACTGCACGCAGATCCTCACCTCCTGTCTCCTGTTGTCCTTCGGCACCTCCCCTCTTCTCAGATTGGGCCCATGCCTTCACAACGGAGTACAGTCCCAAGGGCTAGGTCTCTCCCGAGCTCGCGCAACTCGGAGGGCACCTCCCTACTACAACCGTCAGGGCTGGTAAGCTTTTTACGTGGCCTCGCACCGAGAGCGAAACCACCGCACGAGGAGCACAAGAGGATAGGCACATTTGAACCGATGATCCAGTCAATCTGAAAGGTATGCCCTAGAGTCCTTGCCTGCGTCAAAGTGTCCCGCAGGCTCTGTGACTGAGCCTGGCAATGTGCGATGGTCTTAAGACCAACTGCTGCGAAGCACCCCTCGCGCCGGTAACGGGATCCAATCCAAGCTGGCTGGCGCGCCGAGCAAAACGCACTTGGCGCATGCCCCTTAGCTCCCCGAGCTAGGGGCCCATATAGCTCTTCCCACCACGGGTAAAGGATCAAACTTCGCCCCACGCCTGTCAGGAGAGCCTGATCAACATCATAACCGGCCCCATGTTCCTGGCTCTCATTGTCTGCAAAACGTGCTGCTTGACCAGCGGATCGGCAACCTTCTTATCTAAAATATGAAAACCATCGTCTTCGGACACCGCTTCCGCCACCTCGCGGTGGGCTCGCCAACTTTGGCCAATCGCTCGGGCCTAGAAACCTGGCGACTTCTCTCCAGAACCCTCCAAAAGCGGAAATGCATAAACCTTCCTCCTTGGGATTCAGCCATCTGAACAACCTGGCGTAATCTGCTGCGATGGGCGCGGATCGTGGATGGTTCGACCAGTGCACAGCAATGCGGAGCCCTCCGCGCTCGGCACGCCCCGAATTTTGAATGAGGAATGCTGGCAGCAGCGACCTTCTGGCTCTAAAGAGTGCTCCGTCAGGGGCAAGATGCACCGCGGCGCGCCCTGCTCCCCATGTGGAGGGGGGTCCCGCCTGGGGCGTCCTCGCAATCTCACGCGCAGATGAGGCCCCCGTCTCGGGCTTCCAGACTCAGGCGCGAGGGGCCCAGAAGTAATGATTGCGCAATTGTGGCTTGATGTCCTCTGCGCACTGACGGGGGCCCTCGTCGATGGCAATCGGCGCGCTGGTGCCTGGCAGCACCTCCGCCGCCGCCCCGGCAAATGCCCCCGCCGTCGCTTCGGCGGAGCGCCCTGGCGCCCCCGCCGCGCCCGGCGCGACAGCTTCGACGGCGCCCGCGAAGTTGGAACAATCAAGCGCATGGCGCGGAAGCCCCTCCGCAAGCGAAAGATGACCCCGCGCTCGCGGCCGGGCTAACGTGGCGCCTTGAGCCAGAATGACCATGGCGGAGCGGGCCGCAGACAGGATAGCCGCCACTCCCACGCCACGCTCGGTAAACCGTGGCACGCGCCCTGGGCCCAGATTGGCTGCCAATTTCACCCTCGCGGACGGCCGACGACGACCGGCAAGGCATCGGAGAAGGCGAAAAGAGCACTGGCTCGCGCCAGGGCGAGCACTGGGCAGCCTCCATCTGCGCTGCCACGGACGCGCGCGAATGACAGGGCGCCCTCCTCTGAGGGGAGAACGTGTAGTCTGAGAAGCAGACGATCGCAACCACGGACTCGCAGGCGTAGACAGCGAGGTCGTGGAATAAGCACCACGAGACGGACGCGAAGCAAAGATCGGGAAGCCTGCAGCTCGCCGAAGAGGAACATAACGTGCTAGTCGAAGCCCATCGATAAATTTCACCCCCTGGATCAGTATGCTCGCCCCCGCCCTCGTGCATCGCAAATGCCCTGGACGTTGATTCCAGTGGCCGATATTCGTTGCGCCCCCTGGGCGTTGATTCCAGTGGCCCATCTTCGTTACATTGCACGCGCGCACAATCGAAATCGCACCAAACGTGGATTTCGCAGGTCCTCTGCTGGAGTATCTGTGGCGTCGTTTCACAGTGACCGTCGGGGATAGGAGGACTCGTCTCTATGGGCCGGGGATTGGAATGGGCTCGAGCTTACGGGGCAAGGGGAAGAACGAATAGCCACCTGGGAACGCGCAGACGCTGCCACCCTCGCAGTCGCAACAATCCTCGAGGTCGCGTCCTCGAAGACGAGACCGCCGACGCGGGAGCCGACGCCGCGGGGGCAGACGTCGAACCATCGTCGGCAGCAGCGCCCGATGCGAGGCCAGCAGCAGCCAGCGCGGGCACTGGCCAGAACCCAGCTGGCAGTGTCGACGGTGGAAGAGATCATCCGCGAGCGCCTTGGCTGCGCGCCTGGCCAGAGCGCGTCTGCGCGCGCGGCGCAGAGGTCGGCAGAAGGCGCAGTGCCGCAGCGCGTCGGGCGCAGCGCGAACCCGCTGGGCAAGCAGGCGGACGATGCCCGAAGAGGCAATCAAATCGTCCGTCCAGGTGCGGACAGAACCCCACGCCCGCGAGCATGGGCATCGCTTCAGAAGGATCGCCGCGGCGTCCCAATCGATGGCCTCGATCGCGGCGCGATGACCAGGCAGCAGCTCGCGCGGGCGCGGGCGCGGCAGCGCTATCAGCGGGCCCAACTCTACAGCCTGGTTGCCGATTGCCAGTTGAGCTGCGCGCGGGGGCAGAGCGCGCCCGCCGATGAGGGAGGGGGGGGGGGGGGGGGGGGGCAGCGCGGCGACCGCCGCCTACTGGGCAGGGGCAACCACGGGCGCCACCTGGCTGGGCGAAGGGGGCAGCAGCGGCAGCGGCAGCCGAAGCCTCGACCATCGCGGGGATCTTCCAGAAGGGCGGGCGGGGGTTGCCCGAGGCGGGCATGCCAAGCGCGCGCCAATCAGGCTGATGCAGGGCGCGGTCGCGAAGTTCAGCGAGCGCCCGCGCGCGCCGCGGGGGGGTCAGCCAAACCGCGCGCGTCGAGGGCGCCGCATGCAGGTGGGCCCCCCCCCCCAGGCTGAACAAGACATGATCGCGCGCGCGCTCGGGGGGGCACGGCGCACTTGCGCCCGACAAAATTATTCGAGCCGAAGCAGCTCCAGAGATAGCCAACAGGATTGGGCAATGTAGGACAACGTGCTGACCGCGCGTGCATTGTAGAGAATTCACGGCACTCTGGCGGGTGTCGCGCCGTGCCCGATGGCAAGGGGCCGCAATCTGAGCTTCGCGACTGGGTCGACTCAACTCCGCTCGGCGGTGCCTGCGGGGCTCGCCAGAGGCCTGGGAGTGGCGTCTCAGGGGCCACCTCGAACTTGCCCCGGGACGGCGCGGCAGCGGCGCGGGCGGCCCGCGCGCGGCCGCGGAGCAACTCGGCGAAAGGGCCAGCGAGATGCAATCTTGAAGAGCAATGCGGCCACGGCATCGGCAGCGCACATCACGCGAAACACGTGGGCAAGATGACGCGCGGCAGAAAGGGCCCCTGCCGCGTCGCCCGCGCAGGCCCGAACTGGGCTGCACCCCCCAATCTCGGCGCAGTCCGCAAGGCCCCACGGGAACATCGCGGCGCTCAAGGCGTAGAAGGGGGCCCGACAACGCACATCCCTGGACAGTGCCACTCCTGACCCGATACGGCCTCGTGAGCTCCCGCGGAGGCTGGCGAGACCCTCGATGGGGAAGTCCCGAAGGCGAGCGGGGGCCCCAGGGCTTGGACCACGAAAGCGAGGAACTGCGAATTCAAGGCTGGGAACGCCTGACCGAAGTCCGGGGCAAACGCGGCGGGGAGGTCCGACTGCACTTGAAGATGTTGAGCCCGAGGTCGCGCATCGGCAGGACCCCCGAGGGCAGCGCGGGGCCGCGGCGCCCGGCGCAGGACGACTCGAAGCATTGACCACGACGGATGGGGACATTGATATCCGACACTCGGAGCCCCGAAACCCGAAATTCCCCCAGATGCCAGGATGCCTCGATCAAGGCCCCGCCTGAAGCTGGGAGTCGAGAGTTGCCCTCGGGCGGGGGCTCTGGAACGCCGCATTCGCGTTGTCGAATAAGGACTGGCCCGAGAAGACCCAAACCAAAGCATTCATGAAGATGCGCTCGTCGCGCTGAGGCGCCTGCCGCGCGGCGCAGGGCGAGCCGTCGAAGCCGGGGGCAAGATCTCGAGCGCGTCGGAGGACGC